AGAATCATTTGCGCGATTAAGAGACTGCCCCATTCCCACCCACTAATCACCCTACACTGGCAATGCAAATTAGCCACGTGTATGTAAATGTGCACATCTTACATTTACAATGCAATTTCAGAGACAATGGAGCCAAAAACAAGAGGGGAAAAAGGAATTTCTCAGAACGCGAAGTGCAGACTTTTTAGGGTCCAAAGTAGAGCAACGGCAAACCATTTTATTTGGTAGTGAGCCGACATCTGCCAGACAAATTTAAAAATGGCTGGATTTGAACTCCGTTAAACAGGTGTTCCCCTTCTCTGTGTGGTTGGTGACTCGGGGCCCCTTCACATTCATGAGGGTTAGGGGCAGCAGATCCCAGTGAACATGATAATTCCTGAATAATAGCAGTGATTGGACAGTAACTCGCGGGGAGGGCTTTCGCCCATTGGTGCAGTAGCCTGTTAAGCAGTAAGCACCAATTTCCAAATGTATCGCAAAACCGAAATCCCGCGGTGCATAAGGGCGTATTGGACCGGGCAGGGTGGACCGAACGGTTCAGTATTTCACTGAGTACCGTTGCATACCTAGTATGCGCGTGACGTCACAGCAGGCGGAAGTCACCGCGCTGACACCCACCGAGTGGCAAAAAAAAACTGAGTGGAGCGTTAGCGTTCAGCTTGAATGCCGCAAAAACACATTTAAAATGGAAAAGCTGTCATGCAATTTAATTTGCAGATCTATTTAAGAAGAAATAATAGGAATTATCATTTTACAGACTGCCGAAAACTAAATATCGAATGTGCCGAACCAGATCCACCTGATTAGGTATGTACAGTATCGGTGCCGATACTGATCCGAATATCAGATCGGCGCATCTCTACTCTGACCCACTTATTATTTTCTATGTCGTTTAAATAAAGAACTTTTACCTGCTGTCTTGTAACAGAGAGAGAGAGAGATTGAGCAAAACAGATCACAAGATACACTGGCGCTGTTTTTAGGACAACATAATAGTGATTTTTTTTGGTATAATAAGAGGTCAAAATTATAATATGAAACTATAACGTAGACTGTAAACAGGGGCTCATGTTGTAACACCTGTATGCAGTTTGAGTACATAACAGGGTTGTGCACCTGAACTGAACTGAGAATGACCTTGAAATTCAAGTCATAAAATTGGTTGAAAACAGGGCACAGAATCACAGTTTGAATTTGAACATAAGGAGGAAGAATTAAAATGGATGTGATTTCACATAAATTCATATACATAGTGTAGGTGCAGCTGCAACAATACAGCGTAATCTTTAAATATGAATTATACAGCATGTTAACATAAACAGCAAATACTGAATCCCACCTCCCTGCACCCTCCCCCCCCCCCCAATCACAGAAATTTATGTCGGCAGATAGTACCAGTCAGCTCTGTTTCAGCACCTGCATGAAAAGTCTTAGCATGTCACTGTAATTCAGAATTAAAGGACGGCCCATTTGAAGAGTCAACTCTAGAATAGATAATTTGTCATTCTGTGTACCATGGTGGAAGAGCACTTTATACAGTCATACAAGTAACCCAGTCACAACCCTATGGATCCAACAACCCAGAGACACTCACAGGAAAAGCTACTGCAGACTCCTGATAAATGCTAACACACATAAACAGTTAAATACGTTAAATCAATAAATATATGCCCATGGAAACTGACTTAGAGGGCTGATATATATACCAAATGCATATTGTTAGAATTGACTAAAATGATTACACAATTTCTATCCTGCAATCATAAAGTTCACTTTATTCACTAATACATAACGTAAATATATGCATATACCATCTAGAAAGTAAGTCTGCCATGTAATTATTTGTTTTGCTAGATTAAATGACATTCCTGTGTTGTGCAATCATGTTGAATTGCTTTGAATTTCAGTGAATTAAATTCTTCTTCCTGTTGTTCCAATTCAAATTCCAATTCAACATCGTGCAGGGCATCTTATAGGGGTGTGGCCAATTCAATTCAAATCATGAATGGAATGAGGCTCATAAATTCTGAACAATCCTGGTACATAATGAACTAACAAATCAAGCTTACTATGTCTTCAGTCACGACCTTTGATTGGGGAAGGTGAATCACCCCCCATGTCCAGGATTGGCAGAGAATTGTGCAACTCAGCCAAATACTGTAAAGTGTTTGAGACAGCGCCATCCAGGAAGACAAGTTGCTTCTCTAAATCCTGTTTTGCAGGTGACCATGAACCCCATGGACCATCTCAGTAATGAACAATTCATAGAGAAATACAGGCTGGCCTGAGGTGACATAATGAGCAGGATAAATGAAAAGAGGAACACAGCACAGCGTGCAGCTCCTGACAGCTCTCTGCTTCTACACCAACGGAGGATAACTGCAGACCGTCAGCATGCACATGGCCTCAGCAAGACTGCTGTGTCCAGATCTGTGCATTGGCCACATTTCTATTGCACAGTGTGCACAACTACACACAGTTTCCTGCAGGAGAGGATGTCTTGCATGACACTAAAAGTGGTTTTCATGCCATTGCAGGCATACCTGACACTGTAGGTGCAGTGGATGGAACCTTCAACCCTGTTCATACTCACAACCACCTGAATCCCATCTACAGCTGTCAAAAAGGGATACTGGCACCTGGTTATTGGGAGACAGCAGGCATCCTCTTAGCTAATATCTGCTGACTGCAGTGTTGAATCCCCAAACCGTGGCTGAGGAGAGATACACCACCACACA